TAAATCCATCCATATAATTGTTGTCAACACTTGATTTTTTTCATCCTAAATAGAAAATCAAATTAAAAAATTACTTTTGCGATTAAAAAAAGAATAATTGACTGTTAATATAAATGATTTTCAGATTTTGTATATGAACTAATACAATTCTATTATGGATTCGACTTACAAGTTGTCCTTAAGTGTTATTCATACTTTCAATGTCTGTTTGTAATTTCGGGTGTAGTTTATCTTTGGCTTTTCCCTTTTGTCATGAGGAGTTCTAGTTCAAAGATACCTTGTTGATATAGTTTGATTATTTCAGCAGTTTGTTTGTTCTCTGACACGGTAGGCAATTGTTGATGGTATTCGGTCAATGAATCTGGGTTATCCCGGTTAGACTACTGTTTGTACATATCTATATCTTTTTGATGATGGTATTAATAGAAGGTAAGTCACTGCCCACTGTGCTGTATTTTAGAACCTAACCTTTTGTTTTGTGTATGTCAAGACCTACGGCTGCAGTAGGTGCTGTTACACTGACTGTCTTCACCTATATTTGTTGGTGTGTGTGTGGGATAGAAGGGATAGGTCGTCTATGAAGTCTAAACTGTCTAATTGCATCCAAACTGTCGATTGTATTTCGTGCTTCCCTTCAGATGTGAAGGTTTTCATAATTCAGTCAACCACCAAAAAAGAGGAAGTGAGAGAGGGTAAGCAACCTTGTCTGATACCGGTCTTCACTTGGAATTCATCCTTCAACGAATATTTTTTCATGCATATCAGTAGCCTGCTGAGAATATATTTACTTCAGTAAATAATGTTTTACTCTAAACATTTGTAAACACACATAGAAGTTTCATCAAACATTGGAAGAAATAACTTGAGTGATAAAAAACATGTGGCGACCTGTTCTCAAACTTCTGTACCAGTAATTTTTTCCATTGATTATCAGAATTTTCCCGCTTGTAGATTTGTTTAAATCAACCAATTACATTTATCAATCGCATATACTTAGGTATATTCAAGAAATATTTTCATCATGTCACAATTCAAATTGCTGAAAAGCTCAGAATCTACTATCAAGTTGATTTGATTATTTACCTCTTTCTCTTCTGTCTTTTGAATAACCGAGTAACGATCACCATAGAATGGGCATATAAAATATATTTTAGGATTAATAGAGATGTCATAAAGACAAGATGGTATGTTAAAAATTGATCGATTACTAAGTAGTGACCTTCCTTCTTAGTAATGATCGAATTGTGTCGATCAGTTTGCAATGTGACCAGTAGTCTAAGTGACTCATTATTACGCGCACTATACAGAGATGTGAGGTGGTGGTCAAAGGTAGTCGACAGAAAGCGCTGAACCTAAGTTTCGTTCAACTTGGCACTCATTTACAAGATGTACCCGTAATCTTGATGGAACTGATGCTCACTAGCGAATTCGATTCCATAAATTCGAATTTCATAGACACAGGATCGAATAAGCCAGGAAGCTTAGATGTACACATAAGAGATTCTCCACAGTTCTCTGTCATATATATCGTACACATTGTATACCTTTTGAGATAAATTGTATTTACTGATTGCATAATCTACTCAAGTGATCTTACAAGAAGCTTAGCTAACACTTTGGTCTGATATTAAGATAGTAAATGTATTCGATCAATTACAATTTCATTGACGAATTTCATTCCTACACTTAATAATCACTGAGTAACAATCTCTATCCATATGAATAGAAGTCATATCACAACGTCATTGCTAGTAACCAATCAAATCGGTTAGTTAAGGTTAATACTTTAGTAGTAAAAGACATCAATCATAGTCCGAGTAGCTCATTGGTATTGCGATGTGTGTTACTGATATCGATAGATATAAGTAGTATGTATCATCAATAGAAAGTCAAATATCCGGTGGCAGAAGGTTAAGAAAGTCGAAGAAAAAAGAATGAGAACAAAGAATAATTGGTGTGAAAACAAAAGAACAATGAAATCTGAGACGATCGATTAACATTATACAAATGAATTATTGACAGTATGGTTCTTAGACTTTACTAAGTTACTCTGTTATGTTATGTTCAAATATATTCGATTGTCCCTCGTTACAGTATCCTGAATAATCAAAACAATAATTGATTCCAATTCTAATCATGCATATTATAATAGTTAATGAAAATCTTAAGATAAAGCTTGTTAACAATTGGCAACTAATCATTTAAAACTTAAGTTTTCTTACAAATGCTTCCAATCATTCAATATTGAACTCTCCTTCCCAACCACCCAACCCACGAACCACCCCCCACCCTCCCTCCGCCCCTTCTCAAACTCATCCCCCCCTCTATTTTTTTTAAAAAAAACCTTTTTTTTCATATTTAATATCAATTGATGATTTCTAATTTGTGGGTTGATCATCAAGTATCCTTGAAAACGATTCATCAATCATGTAAAAAAAAAATTCTCTTCGATAAAAAACACAGAAAAAAAGGAAAAAAAGAAGAAAAAAGTAGAAAAAAGAATGTTCTATTGTTTTTCTGAAGTTTTTTCTTTCTCATATTCCTTATTCACATTTATGTCAAGACGAAAAAAAAATGTATATAACGTTGTAAAAGTGAAACTATCAAGTGTTATTCACTGTTCAATTGGTTAGAAACCATTGACTTGAAGATATTTTCCTTTAAAAGAGTGTATATATATATCAAATAGAGATACTTGATTAAGTGTTTTATAAAGAGAAAAATATATATGGGTCAATTGTAGCTAGACCATTATGACAAAACTGGAAGCACTGGATAACCGTTTTGTCTTAATTATGAGATTCCTTAGTAATGTGTATCCACGTAACTGCATTGCGAGATTTGAATACACGACCTATTGGTCTCATTCTGCGAGCGCTTAACCTGTAGACTACTGTGTTGGCATCCAATGGTGTTAATGTATAACTTCAAATAATCCATGAAATTGTGCCACCATCCATTATTGTTTTCAGTGAGTTGCTATTTCATAACAAACACGGTTGAATTCCACTTGTCACGGCTTTTCACTAGAACTCCAGGAAATACCTCTTGGAGACCATCAATAGTGAGCATATGATGATTATAATAAAAGAGGAGTGTTATGGATATTATAATAATTTAGTAATGGAATTTCGTTGGATACCGGCTAAGTGGTCTAGAGGTTAAGCGCTCGATCACGAGAACAAGAGGACGTGGGTTCAAATCTTGCGATGTGGGATCGTTTGATGCGCACTGCTGAGGAGTCACATAATAGGATGAAACAACCGTTCAGTGCCTACAGGTTTTTCATGGTGGTCTAGGTTCAACTGACTCATTAATTTGCCTACTGAATTACTATAATATCCACAAAACCCCTCTGTCAAAAATATATATACAGTGAAATGATATCATCATCAACTTTAATTCAGTTAGTCAGATATTAATACCGTTAGATGTTGTTTCAATGGCCTAAAGGTTATGGCCTTCCACCGCGAGACCGAAAGTCCTGGGTTCAAATCCCTTTCGTGAGAGATCGTGGAAGCATACTGCTCAGGAATCGTATACTAGGACGAAACAGTTTTCCATTGCTTCCTGGTTTTCATTGCTCATCTAACAGTAATTGATTCATGATCCCAATAAAAAACTTAACAATCTACACAACCCTATCCTGTGAGTTCATTAATTTGAATGGATTAATATCAAACTTCAATCGTCTAGATGTTAAATTTGAAGTAGATTGGAAACAAATGAGATTAAACAATCGTAGAAAATAGTTTGAACTACTTGAACAATCTAAAATCTTCTGAATGAACAAATACAGTCTGTTCTAAGGCATATTAACTTATGAGTTACATCATCCATATTGCCTTTGATAGAGAGTTTATATTAATATCCTTATTCTCCACTTAATCACTAAGTGTTATTAAGTTGTAATCAACATCTTTTGTACAAGTGACAAGCATTTTCAGAAGGGGTTCTGTGGAGATCTTAGAAATTTCACTGATTGAAATCATGAGTCAATTGAAGCCAGAACACCATGGAAAATCTCCACAAAACCCGTTCTGATAATAATCATCTGCTCACAAGTAACTGACTTCAAGAGATACTCCTAGAGTTGTAGTGAGAAGCCGTTACCAGTGGAGTTCAACCAGGTCTGTTGTGAGATATCAGCTCACTGAAGACAATAGTATACGGTGCCGCAACTTCGTGGATTGATTGAAGTTAAACATTAACACCGTTGGATGCCGACCGGCTCAGTGGTCTAGTTGGTTGAGCGCCTGGCGCGAGACTGATGGGTGTTGGGTCGGGATCGTGGATGAGCACTGCTGAGGAGTCCCATACTAGGACGGAATGGCTGTCCAGTGCTTCCAGGTTTTCCATGGTGATCTAGCTTCAGTTGACTCATGATTTCAATCTGTGAAATCATATAAGTTTAATTCAGATAAAACATTGTAAGACTAAACCATATGAAAAATTCATAAATTCCACGTGATTTGAAATCAAGTATCAGGTCAAACAGAAAATATACTTGATTTACTCAGTATATAACATACTTTTAAGCAGAAGTGTGGTATGTGTTACTGATGTCGACATATATAAGTAGTATGTGTCATCAATTAAAAGTGAAATATCTGATGGAAAAAAGTGAAGAAGATTGAAAAGAATAGAACGAGAACAGTGAATGATTGATGTGGAAATGAAGTAACAATGAAGTATGAATTAATTGATTGACATTTTGCAAATAAATTATTCACTGTATAGTTCTCAGACTTTACATAGTGATTCTTTAATTTTGTGTTCGAATACATTTATTTGTAAACACTGATATTCTCGTTCAGTACAGTAGTATATCAACATTAGGATCTGATTCCTTAGGAACACAAATTTCCCCAGTTTGATAAAACAGACATATTCATCTTCCCTTTATATTACATAACAGCCTTTATAACATACCATGTTTGTCAAGTGAAATAAAATTGAAACCTTAGTATCAATCACATCCGATGTCTCTATGATATAAAATTAATCAAATCACTTTATGACCTGATCTAAAAATAGTTTGTACAACGAGTTCATTTTCTGTATATGATCTATTGGGTATCAGGACTCAGTAGCTAAGTGAATAACGCAATGACATTTAAAGCGAACGCTCCTAGGTTCAAGTCTCAGATTAAACATTAACTCTAAGATACAGTTACACCTAACTGACGAAGCTCTGATAAGACGAAACTCACATTCTTTCTTGCACTACTGGCTCCTAAATGTCCTGGTACGACCGAGAGTGTGAAGAGTCCACTCTTCCTCCCGAAATGCTTTCACATGGCCATACGTATACAGCCTCTGCCAGGTAAGTCCCACCTACTGCTTTTTCGTATCGTAGATGCTGTTTACCTAATTAAGAGGACGAAAAGCGAATGTCCGATGGGGGCTTTAAGAGGGTTGGTGGACATGGAGGGTTCACCTAGATGAGTTGGAAAACCCTGATTTCAAACCAATGGTGCACATGGGCTCCAGTATCTTGAGGAAACAAATAACGTCCGAATTTATTGTTGGTCACCAGCCACCCTGTGACTGCATTTCCTTACGTTGCTCCACTGTCTTGTGGATCAGACCTTTAGGTTGAAGGCTCCGAGTGTGGCCTCCTAAAAAACTCACCCACTTTGATTTGGGCACTTGGTTCAGTATCACAGCCGTCACAAAAATCTAATGAGATTTGTGTGGTGCATATGTATTTGGTGCCCCCTTGTAACCATACTAGCCATTATTCATTTTTTGCTTATAATATCAAATGAATGTTTATTATTATGAGTATCAATAAACGAATTTCAACTTACCACATCCATAACTTGATTTAAGAAAAATTTCACACTAACATTTAATGTTTCTGTATCATTTGCTGATGGACGTTCAATTGGATTATGTGCATCTGGTCGACTGGAATCGAATAAATATTTTAATAAACGTTTTTCATATAATCCAGATAAGACAATATCTTTAAATAGAAAGATAATAAAGAAGAGAAAAAGTAAGCCAGAAGAAGAATATCATAATTAAAATGAAATGATATACATAATCTTTAAATGATTGAATAGTCTAATTAAGTAGATATATGAAATCAGAAAGAGGTTTTGTGGAGATTATGGTCATCTCAATCGTTGAGATTATGAATCAATTGAAGCTAGATATTAACATCGTTGGATGCAAAACTAAGTGATCTAGAGGTTAAACGTTTGCGCTTAAGACTGATAAGTCGTCGGTTCGAATCCAACGAGGCGAGATTGTGGGTACACACTGCTGAGGAGTCCTTAAATAGGGACGAAATGGCCGTCCAATGCTTCTAGGTTTTCCATGGTGGTCTAATATAGATCGATTCATGAACTCAATACCAAAGCAACACAATCATAACATCAATCCCTAGAGTAATCAATTATGCTAAACAGCTCAACTAATTTATAAGTTTCCAAAATATCTCAGTTTTTTTGTAAATAAAACGAATTATTTGGCAACAGTGCTTGATTTATCGAGTCTTTATTGTATATGTTCAAGTGTGTGTGTGTACGTACGTATGTGTGTATCAGTGTGATTCATTGACTGATATTTAATTCTCGGTGAGACTGCAATTTATGAACAACCTTTGAGCGTCACCAACATGACCTTGAGAGTGTCGACCTAGTCTGAATGAGGGTTATAAACCAGTATGAGGAATTAGAATTATGATTCATAATTGATGGTTATGGGTTTTGAATTAGATTTAAGGTTTTCATGACGATAACATAATGAAATATCCAGATGACAGGAATAGGTTGCGCAAATATTAAAAGCAAACCACCGAATTTACATCACAGTTAGATATCTATTACGTTTTTGTTACATAATGCATAAATATTGATTTGTACATAGATATGTTTGTGGTGAGTGACCATCTGTCATCGACATGGATTATAAAAATAGGGAATTTAATCTATGGAAGACAACTTACAACATTTGTGTTTTTGATGCTTGTTCTAAAACCAAGAAGCACTAAGGATGTAGACTTGATCATTGATCGGTGCGTACTACTGGAGTTTTGCAATACTAAGGTTGAATAGCTGTTTTCTACTTCTATGTTTACAAATCAGTTCATAGTGTAAACTATTATTTGTATCATTATGGGAATTTGTAGAAATGATAGCACTTTCATAGTTGAGTTCAAGAATCGATCTATTTTAGGTCACCATGGAAAACCTAGAAACACTGGACGGCCATTTCATCCTACCATGAGATTTCTCAGCAATGCGCATACACGATCTCGCACCAAACCGACTCCACCATAGGACGTTCAGTTTCGTACATGAACACTTAACTTCTAGACTGTTGAACCGTCATCCAACGGTGTTAATATCTAACCTCGATTGATCAACTTCAATACCATAATGCTTTTTCATCAAACGAATGAATGAATATCCCTTCAATATCCAAAACTTCTCAACTTAAATCTAATTGGTTCATTCATAACTAACAAGTTTTCTGTTCTATAACTTACATGTAACATTCAATGATGGAACAATAACAACAACAACCAAAAGAAAAAGAATCAAACGTTTAAACAAAATACACAAAAAGAGAACCAGGATTCAATCATGACAGTAATTGAATTATACAATTCGAACTACAGAATTTATGAAAAAGGGAATTTATCTAGAAAAAAATTTCCTACTTGACAACAACAACAACAAAAGACACACATCCAACTATCTCTATGAGAAATTCATTAGAAATCTAATTATCTAGTTAATTGAACTAATCAATTTAAGAATTGAATAAATCTTATTAGAAAAAGGTAGAGGATTTTTAGTTATTTTTAATAGTTGAATTCATCAGTTCAATAAGGCTAGATGATTCTGGAAAATCTCAAAGCATTGAATGATGATTTCGTCTTAGGATGAGACTCTTCAGTAGGGTGCATCTACGATGATGAGTTCAATTGAATATTCTTAGTTTAATTGTATGTTAGTTAGAATTAAGTAAATGACTGTTGTGTTTTAGTGTGAAAAGAAGCAATAACCTTGGTTAAAACTACATATAGATGTGATTCAGTGATTTCCCTTGTAAAGCTTATATGATTTGATATCGAACAATAATATGATGCATACTAAATTCAGAGAAACCTCCAGTGTTTTCTGGTTTTAAATGGTTCTTTAACTACAATCATGTTGTAAACTATGAGAAAAATGTTAGTAGGCGATAGCATTTAATGCGAACGATACTGAGTTCGAGTCTTAGAGTGAGCATCAACTCTGAAATTCACCTACATCCAAATAAAACGAAGCGCGTGTCAAACTGCATTCCACTGCTAGCCACTATCCATTCATCTTCGCTTATAATGCTTGTGAATTAAGGCAATATCGAGGCAATACGCACAGTATGTACATATGCCAATAACAGACTGATCGATTGCAGTCTTAAACCTCAATGAGAAGATTCAAGCAAAACAATACCAAGTGAATGTTAATAGACTGTTAAGAAAGTTTTGAGGAAATGAGAAAAGTTCTTTGTTTTCATCATATATTAAAGATGATAACCTTGAAGGTGTTCAATAGTTTTTTTATGAAAATCATCGAACTACATCACAAGAAAACCTCGAAATCGAATTCTTCAAGGCAAAAGAAAAACTGGATAATCAAAAGACACATTGATTTGAATTCAGAGACAGACATTGAAAAAATGAATACCACATAGGGATGACTAGGATGCAGAACCAACAACAGAGAAGGTTGGGATTCACTGGTTTATGGCTTGTATACTACGAGATGTAGCAGGTGTAAGTATGTATAACTTATAGATTATAGCTGGATGTAACATGGAAATAGGTTTTGTTGATTTTCGATTTATTTTAACGGGCGGTTTGTTTCATCTGGAAGTATAAGCCTATCAACTGTATAGATAATCTTTAATTCGTCATTTATTCTATGATTTACAAATCCAATAAATTCATTATCTCAAATGTAGGAAATATATAGGCTTTAGTGAATAGTCAAACATATACAACATCACAATAATAGGCGTCAAATGAATAATTGTCCCATTTAAAGATACATCCTACCTTTACTGAATTTAGTCGTTAAGTAGTGCTGAACATCACTTTTATCTATTACATATTGTGGGGTGTGCTACTGATGTCGGCAGATATAAGTAGTATATATCATCAACAGAAAGTGAAGAAGATCAAAGGAAAGTGAATGAGAACAGAGAGTGATTGGTGTAGAAACGAAAGAACAATGAAGTCTGAGACAATCTCATTGTCATAAGATTTTACGAAAAGATTTTTAAATTTTATGTTCAAATCTATTTGATTATCCTTACTGGTGTTCTCCTTCACTACAATAATACTAACTGGCAATCTAACCAGTAGTCTAAATAACTCAGAATTGTATACAATACATATAGAGGTTAAACAAATGTGAAATTGATCTATAGGATACCTTAAATCTAAAACTAATGAATTCATTGTGATTATTCTGTAAAACATCTTATTGATTACTTTGAACTATACTACATTTCAACAATATGCTGAGGAGTCTCATACTGGGACGAAACAGCCGTCCAATGCTTCCAAGTTTTCCAATGATGGTCTTATTGAAATCGACTCATGAATTCAACTATTAAACAATTTTTAACTATTGGTTAATCATAATTATCTAAATCATTCATCACAAAACAAACAAATCCAATTAAATCTAAGGTGAACTAGCACCTAGATGAAAAGGAAATTTGGAAAAGATATTGCAAATAGATAAGATATACATTAAGGAAATCATCAAACTACATCGTGAGGTAAACTCTTAGTTGGAATCTTAAATAGAAACCCGAAAGAGGAGAACCGAAAAACACACTTTGTCGACAATTGAAAGCGGACATGAAAAGGATGGATAGCAACGGGAAAGAAATGGACAGGATTACCCATGACAGAGTTAGATGGAGAATGCTGCTGAATGGTCCATCCTCATCGATGAGGATCAACAGGCGTAAGCAAGTATATATATATATATATATATATATATATATATATAGACCAATCCTTCTATTCATTTAAATAATTAACAATTTCTAAATATATCACATGGGTTTTGTGGATATTATAGTAATTTCAATGGTTAAGATCCACAAAACCCATTTGATATTAATCAACATATGCTCACTAGCGAATGACTTCAAGAGGCATTTCCTGGAGTTCAAGTGAAAGTGAGTGACCAGTGGAGTTCAACTAGGTCTGTTTTAAGATAGTAACTCACTGAAGACAACGGTGGATGTGTCACTCAATTTGATGGATTAGTTGAAGTTACACATTAACACTGTTGAATGCCGACCGGTTCAGTGGTTTAGTGGTTAAGTGCGAAACCAGTAGGTCTTAGGTTCGAGTCTCTCAGCTGGCGAAGTCATGGACGCGTACTGCTGAGGAGTCTCACAATAGGACGAAATGGCCATTCAATGCTTTCAGATTTTCCATGGTGGTCTAGTTTCAACTGACTCACGATCTCTTAACCATTAAAATCTTTAAATATATTTCCTTCTTTTTTTTATTATTCTTCATATGAAATAAATAAAAATTAACTATAGAATTTAATAAATCTAATTTAAGATAAACACATTTATATTAATGATAAATGAAACGATTCAAATTATGAGCGCAATTTCATTTTTAAATTGTGCGCTTAACTAAACTTATTTGTTATTCTTGTTTGTTTGTTTACTTTTTTTTTCTTTCTTTTTTCTTTCTTTTTTTCTTTTTTTCTCTCAACTCATTTTAATAAAAAAACAAAATAAGAGAAAAGTTTTCATTTTCTTATGGATTATTTTTGTGTTTTTGTTTTTTTTGTTTTGTTTTTCTTCTTCTAAATTCCAAGTATCTATTTATTGAATGAATGAATGAACAGTTTAGTGAGAAAGGGGATTTTGTAGAGATTATAATAATGTTTAATAGTTGAATTGATGAATCAATTGAATTTAGATCAT